GTTGGTCCTTCCAAATGAACTGTTCTATTCTATTCCTGATGCTATTATACTTCTTTAGCTAGGAAAGGGGTTGAAGCATCTCAACTTAGAGATACTAAGGTTTTTCAAAAAAGGAGTAATTGAATTCACTAATCATAAATGTCATTCCCAGTATATGAGACTGATTTTTTTTTTAATTTATTTTTGCATGCAACTAAATTTAATGACATGGCCTAGACTGGAGGAAGTACTAGCTTGAAATTCAGCACAAGTCCAGCATGGAACTAGAGCACTGCTGTAAGTCTGAGTAACTTTGGGGAAGTATTACTACTGCTTCTTCTCAAATCCCTGCTAGAATTTCTACACCTCGAAAACTTTGCATCTCCAGGAATTTTATCATCCGCTAGCTTGTTTTAAAAGTTTTAGCACTTCCTGTGGTAAGGAAGAAAATGCCTGTTCAGATGAGATACTTGAATTTTTCTATTTTCAGAGCGTCTAAAACTCTGCTCAGCACATCTGTGGAGGCAAGAAACCGTAGGATTTATTGTTACCTACTGAGGCAGCAGCTACAGTTTGGATACACGATGGAAACTCCCCTGTACAAATACAGAGTAAAAGACGACTTTACTGGGTTTAGTCAAGTGGTAAAGAGAGGGAAAAAAAAGAGAAATAAGTAGCTGCAATGTCTGCACCTACTGCAGGCAAATGAGGAGTGGAATTGGTGATAAACCCCTGCTTTCTGCTCCCAGCTATGTGTCCTAAACAGTAGGTCTTGTGGTCTACCATCCCAGAGGAATCACTAGAAAAGGGGAGCAGACAGAGAGGAAGCAGAAGCCAATTTAGGAGAAAAACACACATATGTGTGCCTTGTTTAGACTATTTGCCAAAGGAAAAGAAGCTTAAAAATCAGTTGTTCGTGGATCTGTTCTCCATTAATATTTAAACCTTTTTATTAAGTTTAAGGAAGCAGAGGAAAATCTCAGTGCTTCAACAGTTTTGTAAAGATTGGTGAGGGAGGTAACTATTTCTCCAATGAGAAAGAAAGGCTCATCAGCAAGTTACCTCTTAATATATGCCAGGTTATTCATGCAACCAGGAGAAAAGCTTCTATTGTGGCTTATATTGTAGACCACCGAGAATCAACCCAAAAGATAATACAAAAGAAACTGAGACCTACTTGCTTCACTGTTCATAAATAAAGAATGTTTATCATGTTAGTTAGAAGAAACTGTAAGAATTCCTTAATCCTCTAAACATGTGCTCACTGCCATGTGTTAAATAACATGCACCAAGCAAATAATAGAGCCTAGCTTTTTAGAAGACCATCACATTTATGTAACAGGTGGATTTTTTTTTTTAAGAAAACAAGGACAGAACTGTAACTGGCTCTGGGAGGGACAAAGAGAATGCCCATTAGGAAAGGAGAATGTGAAGGCCTGAAATAAGTTGGAGTGACAACATAACATTTTGATTATTCAAATAGAAACACCAAAGTCTTTTCAGTCATATTTGAGTAAGTTACATTATACTGAAATCCTAGCACTAGGGAAAATTTGTGCTAAATACTCATAAGGTCTCAAATAATAAATGTCCAGTCTAGCTTCACTGTAAGATCAAGGTGAGAAGGGCTTCAAAAAGAAAGGGAATGATCTACAACAGCTTCTGTCACCAGAGAAGTTTGTGACAAGTTTAGGGCAAGACAGAGATGGGAACTGAACCTCTCAATACAGTCTTGAATCAGGCTGTATTCTTTTCATTTATCCAGCTATGCACTTCACACTGTTGAAGTCTCTTTCCTAACCAGACAGATTACAATTTCAGTGCAGTGTTGTAAAAACAGAATTCCACGAAGTACTTTAAACTTGGATTGGATACATGGAATCAGCTGTTCTGGGTTGTTTAGGGTTTTTTTCCCCCCAGATTTTTCAGAAGCAGAAATAATGCTTTATTGTGAAACTTTCTCCAGAATTTTTTAGTAATTTAACCGTTGGACTCACTGTGCACATTTGCAAAATTATTAATTAGCTTAGGTGTAAATGGCTAATTAAGTGCTTTAGAAGTTACACTTAACATGGTCCAGTTACAGGGATAGCAGTTCCTGTTACTGCTACATGAGTCATAACTATATTTCAAAGCTATTTCTTAGTACTTGGTGTTTTGAAACATCTTTTTAATTAAGTTATAAACAAGTTCCTATTAAAATAAAACTATTAGTCATTAAAAATAGAAAGTTCTATAATGTGCAATTTGACTTCAGTGACATGCATGGTGGTGGAACTTTTAAATTGCATGATCATAGGTTCATTTTCCATAGGACTTGCACCTTTTTCTGTGTGCCAGTATTCACCTAATGAGTTGCTATGCAGCACTTTGTCTGTTCTTTCTGAATACTGTCTCTTTATCTAGCAAAATCTATGCCTTCTTTCTCCTCACTAGGTTTTTATCAAGTCCTATTGTGTGCTGACAAGTAACACAGTTTCTATGTCTCATTCCCATCCTCATATACTTATCTTTTACTGGGTCTCAAATTTATTCCCTTCCGCCAAAACTGAGGTCTAGCTGGTTTTTTTGCTCAGCTTATCCTAAGCTTAGATGTTTCCCATCCAAGCACTCATCTCCTGAGAGCTTGTCCTAAGCCGCCTTCTCTTTATAGGGAGTTTTTTCCCTTCTACCCTCATGTCACATGATCTTTTCTTCCATTTGAACTAAAAGCCAATGGGACACCTGCTTATCTCTCAGGTTCCTCCTGTGACTTTTCCCTTCAGGTTGAGGAGAAAAGAGTGTAATTAGACAGTAAAAGGCACAGATGTACATGCAATTGAGTCACACAAGGGATCCACAGAATTTACAACCTGTTCAGTTATGAACGTCAGAAAAATCTCAAACAGGCATGTGCAAACAGGTGTGTGCATAGGGGTGGGGGGAGCACTTCTGTCACACTTTTAGGCTAAACACTGGCAATTCTAGGGTTTTTGTTCCGATTGTTTAACATGGAAATCAGAAGGAATTATGCTCTTTTGCACCACTCTAACATAATACAAAGGAACCAGGGGACGGGGGGAGGGCAGTCACCAACAGCGGCTATTCTTTTGTTTTCTCTCAAAAACTTGGCAAAGCAACAAGCTAGACACAGCTGAAATGTGCTGGCTAAAAATTTCTCAAAACTTTCATCAGAGATAGACACAAACCATGCCTAACACCATCACAGAGAAAGCTTGTCAAAGCCATGGATACCTGAAAAAGGGTTGCATACCAGAAAATATTAGTAATCCCTATACGTATACAACATCACCAGCACTGCCTACAATTATGATTCACACAATTTTATGCACATGATGTTTTATAAATTAATTATATGCTGAAAAGCATGTTTTGTTTGCTTGGGTTTTTTTGTGGTTAGTCAGGGTATTTTGAAAAGTAAGCAGTTTGATTTTAAAACAGGCATACAAAAACTCTCAGCTCAAACATAATTTCCCATGTTGGGGAAATTTGGAGTGTTCTTTGTTCATCAGTTTTCACTTGAGAGTTTGTGGTTTTTAAAAATCCTTTCATGACAAACCTCATTTGCTATTTCAAGTTAGAAAGAAATCCTTTTCCTAACAGACTTCCCTCAATCTATTGTGATCAAAAAGCAGGTATAGCTCATTGTCTTGAGCAAGATAATGGACTGTGAAAAAGGACCTGGGCGTTCTGGGGGACACCGAATTGAACATGAGGCAGCAATGTGCCCTTGCTGAAAAGGTGAACAGTATCCTGGGCTGCACACAGCAAAGGCTGGAAGGTCGAGGGAGGGCATCCCTCCCCTCTGTTCAGCTCTGCTGAGTCCATACCTGCAGGACTGTCCTGAGTTCTGGGCTCCCCAGAACAGAAGACAGGAACATACTGGAGGACAACAAAGGGCCACAAGAATAACAGAGGGACAAGAAAGCACCTCTCCTACGAGGAAAGGCTGAGAGAGCTGGGACCACTCCACCTGGAGAAGCAGCAGCTCAGGGGATCTCATCCACCTGTACAAACAGCTTCAGGGAGGATGCCAAGAGGACAGCCAGACTCTTCCTAGCAGTGCCCAGGGGACAGGGCCAGAGGCCACGGGCACCAACTGACACACAGGAGGTTCCCTCCAAACATCAGGAAACAGTCACTGTGAGGGTGACTGGCACAGGCACTGACCAAGCACTGGCACAGGCTGCC